ATGTATTCGTCGATATCTTCATTGTCTCTTTTTTTATCTCCATATAAGCAATAGAGATCAAATTTCTTAATTAATATGTCTATATCCACCGCGTTTTTATCTTCTTCATAGAAATGAAATGTTCTATGAATCTCTTGACCAATGGGACCCATACGATTTAAAAGCATGAAACCCCACATTTGTTTTTTGTCTTCAACTTTGTCAATATTCTTTAAATAAGCAAAGAAATCATTTTTCCATGAAAACCAGGTTCTAACAAACTCGTCTTTTGTAGCAAAGATGGTAGGTGGTACTGTCACAGTTGTGATTGTAGATTCGTTTCCATTTATAGATAATTCTGCTTGTTCACTGTTTACAGGTTCTGCTTGTTGACTAGAAGAACCACCTAAAAGATATTAATTATGAATTTTATTACACAGAAAAACAGTATCAAATATTATGTCCTATGTGTATAATGTATAATTACCCATTTTGTTTTATAATCACTTGAATATATAATTTAAAATTTAAATATTTCAATAATAAATTTTTTGCAGAGAAATCGAACTGCAAACACAGATATTTTTATATAAATTAACATTAATGAAAGGAGGAAAAAATGAAGATTATTTTAACAGCACATACAATCTTACAATGACGTTTCACTAGATTACTAATAAACTATTAATCTACACAATTATGTTTCATGTTATCTAGTAAATACACTACAATATTCTCGAAACTATAAAATGTTGTTTGTTGGGGCGTCGTGCTAAAGTTTTAGTTCTTTCTCGTTAAACTTCAAATACATTAATAATACAATAAATACTTCAATTTAATAAAGGTCAGCTATCATATGTGTTATCTTTACTATGATAAATATAGATAAATGATGAAAGAGTAAGATAATTATTTTTTAATACAAGCTAAAAAATGTGTGTGTAGTGAATCCCCTAATATTCATCAATAACATATATGAGACAAAGATCGCACGTGGGATCGTCGAATTATCTATGAATAATTGTAAAATATTGATATTAATAATATTGATACGAATAAGAGCCTAGCTGCCAAGTCGATTATGTATTTTAAAATGAGAAGAAAATTATAAATGAACAAATTTACTAGAATATTTGTAATTTTATTGGTCAGTATACCTAGTGGATTTTGCTCATTTTAATTTTCATAATTTTAGGATTGGCTCTTATTTCACGGACACGACCACAGCCATTTCGATACTACTATTTTATCGACAGTTTCATATTCAAATAAATGTTAAAGATGCATTTGAATATAGGTTATGTTTCAAAATTGACTGCCTGTACTGAAAATATATAATGTACGTGACATAAACTGTAGCATTTTCAGCGTTGACAGTAAATTTGGAACACAGCCATAATATAATATATGAATATATAATATACGCCGAGGGGTTATAACATCGATGTTATGAAACTGGCAAATCACAGTCATTCCATTCTTCAGAAGAATAGCTATGATTGGCCAGTTTAATAACATCAACATCGATATTATAAGACCCGTCTACAATACACGGAGTAAGAAGTAAGAGTAAGAAATTGACCAATCACAGTCGATTATTCTTCTTACATTCGACTGTGATTGGTCAATTTCTTACTCTTACTTCTTACTCCGTGTATTGTAGACGGGCCTATAACTTCGGCGTAAAGCCTGTATCAAACTATTGACTCTGCAAGCCGACCCGACTGCCAACTCTGACTGCCGACCAATAATGGACCAATCACATTAAATCAGTCTTATTGTGATTGGTCCATTATTGATAGGTAGTTAGAGTTGGTAGTGGGGACGGCTTGTAGAGTCGGTAATCTGATACGAGCTTAAAGCGTGCCGTGTAAGGGCCTGAGCACAATAGAGGAACAGGAATTAGATATTAAGATTTCAACCTATCAGAAACTGATTACATCGGAATACGCGGTTTCTGATAG